ATCAACCAGCTCAGACATCCATCAACAGATAAATGGCTGATGAAAATAGGCTTGATACATGAAATGGAAAGTTATCCAGTTATAACAAAAAATGAAAATTTCAGGAGAATGGATGGATCTAGAAAGTACAGTATCAAGGAAGGGGGTCCAAACACAGGCATCTTCTTCCTCTGCTGTGGCTCCTAGCCTGTAATGTATACAGCTGTGTATGCAAAAAGTATAAGGATGGGTGAAGTCTACAGACCTAGACAGGAGACCCAGAGAGGGTACTGATGGGTGATGAGGGAGGATAGGAGTGGGCAGGACACGTGGGGCATGACAGGGAAAGGAGTCAGAAGAACAGCAAAGGGGTGGGGGATGGGAAAGAGGAGAGCCACAAGAACACATTGTTAAAAACTCGGAATATACTGAACACATTGTATGCTGAGTGGGAAAAAAGAAAAGCCACAACGAAATGAACCACTGGGAAAAAAACACACTAATTAATCATGTATCTATTCAGAGTCCATGTTTCTCAGAAACATCAAGGATTTTTTTTTTATTAGCTTTGAGACAATAAACTTGTACAAATACACATAACCATCAGGACTAGGATAAATTACTATTTCAAGTTTTAACATTTTAAGCATGGAAAATACGAACAGCTATATCTTCTATACAAAAATATATGATTTGATAATGTGCTTATGGGGCAGTGCCCACGAGACGATGCCAATTCCATCAGCATCTGTTACACAGCCATAAATACATAAAAATATCAGTAGGCATTAACATTATTCTTTCAAAAGAATACATAGTACTAATTATGCCCAATCCAGCGACTGGCAGGTTTAAAGTAGTCCTAACTTGAAAATATCTATTTAAAAAAAAAACACAACAATTTTGGTATAAAAGTAGGAACAACGAACTGCGAGGTACTCTGCTATGGCAACTGAGTACATTTGCCCTGCCGCTCTAATGTGGAGGTCTGAGGCTAGCCAGTGACCTGCAGCAGCAAGGCTTTGCCTGAGGACCAGCTGGCACGCTTCACCTTTGTGTCCTGTAGGAACACACGGAAACAGGAGATGGAGAGTCAGATGAACAAACATCAGATATACGGTTTCAAGCACGTTCTTAAATGATGAGATGACACGAGAACCCTGATGTAATTAACGTGGAACTCACCGAAAGCTAGACTCGAACAGTCCTCGTGAGTTTACAGTTTGGTCAAGGTCCAACCACAGTACTAAAACGAGACGGGCATACTCTGAGAGAGGCTGGAGAGAGGAAAATGTAGAAGACCGAAAGATAGTTACCAACTTTCTGACATTGCTAAGGAGAATAGACCCTCTGCCAAGTCAGCCCAGTAACTCAGCCCCAGAAGCCTGCCTCACAACTATGAAGAGCGAGCAGAGGCAAATCGCTTAGGTCCCTGCAGGGACCAGAACCTCCTTAGCTTAGGTTACTACGCAACAGGCAAGAGTGAAGCCCTATGTACTCACTTCCCAGTCGTTCTCTAAAAGCCTGTGTACTTATCTAGGAATTGGTAGATCAAATACTTGATACTTTGGCAAATAGTTTATTCAATACTCTTTAAAGTCCCGCTCAAAAGTCTCAGCAGGGTGCTGCATCAGCACTGCTGGCCACAAGCTAAGAAAATGCATTGCATTTCCGGAAAAGGAAGAGATCGGGAGCTGACTTCCGCTCTTTGAAGCGCCCAAGGTTGCGTGCATCTTGTGGAACTCGGTAGAAATAGATTCTGTAGACGTGTCCCAGGATCAGCGGCTTGATTGTCCTCTACGGAGCAACGCTCAGGGCCTCCACCTCTCCTACCGGTGGCCTCCGTACTTCGCTACCCAGTCTGTCCTCCCGTGCACCGAGGGAACTGGCTGTGTGCGGTTCACAATATTGAGATTTTTGGCTGTGGGATTGTAAGTTCGTCCTGAAAACTGGCCTCGGCCAGTTTTTGTGCTCCAGGTATAGTCTGAAAAGAGATCAGAATTTCATGTATTTGATTATCAAATTCAAAATAAAGCAATTCATCTTCATTTTGAGGGGAAATTTGGATTTGTCTTTGAAAGCTGTGGAGGAAATAAATGTGAAGGTTTATATTTAGTTCGGATCTGGTGTCTTTTTATTTTCTGAGGTGAGGCAAGCTCTTGCTATGTAGCTCAGGCTGGTCTGGAACTCACTATGTAGCCCAGGCTGGTCCCAGTCAGGGTCGGCTCATCTTTACTCGCCCAGAGCTGATTACAGGTGTTGCTCATTATGCTGCCTCAAGCAAAACCCCTAGTGGAATATTATGTGGGTGTTTACTAGGATTTTCCATGTCATTCAGATACTGCACTCTTAGCTAGATAACTAACTGGGAGTAAACTGACCAAGACACGTGTGGTTCCTTAGTGAGCAGCACTCAGTGTGGCGGTGACTGATCTCACACCCTGCTTACATCCTGAAGGACAATCAAACATGGCACCAGTAGTAAAGATGACATACTTGGAACTGTGTGGAACTCTGGTTTCATGGCGATAGGAGGTTCTGTAGCCTCCTTTTACAAGCGAAAATGTGCTTTTGAGAACTTAAATTTCTCTTTAAAACATTTTTTTGAGATACTACTATATAGCTTAGGCTGGCTTGGAACTTTCTGCATAGACCAGGCTGTCCCGGAGCTCCCAGAGATCGGCCTGCCTCTGCCTCCTGGGATCAAATGTGTGCACTATCATATCTAGTTGTGCCCTTTCTTTCCTCTTGTTTTCTTTTCTCTTCTTTTTTTTCTTTCCCTTTCCTCCCTCCCTGCATCCCTCCTTCCCTGCCTCCCTCCCTCCCTGCCTCCCTCCCTCTCTCC